CCCCAATTCCCCAATAAAAATCTTTAAAAAAAGCAACCCAACATCTAATTACATCTTCTAGACTTTCTTTTTCCTTTTATTTTTTAAGCCTCCAACTTTTTTTTTAATGTATATATCTATCCATGTGTGCGCGTGTATGTGTGCTTTTTCTCAGAAACATATAAATATATAATTATTAGTGAGCTTTAGGCCCTGAGTGCCTGATAGATGGGCACCCCAGAAATCAGGATAGAATGGTTGCTGCCCCTTGACTCAGGAAAAAAAACAAGCAAGATGCTCAGAGCCCCATGGGAGAAGAGCCAGGCCTGAAAGGAAATGCCTAGATCCTGGTTGGGGAGTAGAGAACTGATACAACAGGGATGGTTACTGCAACAACGGGAGGCAGAGAAGGCCTAGAAAGGAGAACATACAGACCATGGGCACCTAGAAAGTTCTTAATGGCATCAGGGTTGGCATGTGAGTGAAGTATAAGAGGCCTGGAAAAGGAATGGAAGTTAGAGGACAGGATCCTTTGGTCACAAAGCACAGGGCAGTGTCAATGAGGTGAGTTAGTAATAGGAATTGATAACTTAGGAGCCTGTTATCTCTGTCCTGAGAAAGGCAGGATACTCCTGTGTGGAGAGAAATATAGGATTATAGTATTCTATCCCAGCCTTCCACTGGAGGGGGGACTGAATTTATCATAGGTGCAAACAAAGAACAAATTCCCTGGATGCTTACTCGAATGTACTTGATGGTCTGCTTTGTACGATCATACCAGAAGCCGTAGTCAATCCAGAGACGAATCAGCTCCAGGGGTGGCTGGGACCCAAAAGTGTCCTTAGCTGGCATATTTAGGTCATCCATAAAGGTGATCATGCGTTTGCCCCCAGCTGGCACATAGACACCCTTGGTTCGCTTTTCCACCCTGCTCTCAATGATGCTCTGCACATTATTGGATGTGGTCTGGTGAAAAAGGTACAGAATGAATGTCTGGGCCCCCAAGAGAAATATGGAGATAGAGAGAAGTGTCAATCAGGTACTTGAATCCCAAGGAGAGCAGAAGGCAGGGAGAGAGTGGGGAGCAGGCAGTCTGACCCCTGGGTCCTATAACGCACCTGTGCAGACATGTTGACAGTGAGCACTGACCACTGGCTGGAGGGCAAGGACTGTAGGACACTCTGGGCAATAGAGGTCTTCCCAGTCCCCACGGGACCCACCAGCAGGACAGGATTCTGGTTGACCACCAAGGCACTCACTAGGTGGTTGTAACGAACAGTGTCAACAGTGGGCACCATGATCTTATAGAAAGGGAAACTAGGGAGGAAAAAGAATTGTGTCTCAAGGATCATTGGCCTACTCATTTTTAACTCCCCCTTCATTCTGCCTCCCAGAGTTTATCTTCCTCTGGCATCACCACTCTCTAATCGCCAACCCTGCCTCCTGTGGGGCCTGGGAATCAGGCATTTTCCTTAGGAACCTGTTCCATTTCCTCTCGATCTCATTTGTTATACTCAAGCGTCATCTCTGCTCTGGGATCCACCCTCTCCTTTCTATAGCTCACTTTTTCTTCTAGACCCCAGCTCTCTCGCCATATCTCCCACCAGCAGCAGCCCCAAGTCCAATCCACCCTGCCCCCCAAGGGCCTGGCTCTCACTTTGAAGGGTAGCGCCAACTCTTAGGGAGCTTATCCTCAAATGATGTCCAACATCTCATCTTGGGGTCCACAAAATACTCATACACTGTGTCCTGAGGAGGGAATGTGTGTCAGGTTGCCAAAGCCTTTCTTTAGTTCTCCCCAGCCCAGAAAAAGTGCTCACAGACCACTGGTGAAAGAAAGCAAGCTGGGCTGGCAGGCTGAAACTCAAGAAGAGTCTGAGGATCAGGGATACAGGTGCGTTCTGGAAAAGCAGGGAAAATAGGACGGCTGGGTTCGGGGCCCCTGACCTTATTGGGAAAAGAGCCCTCCATCTCTCGGAGGCAACTGTCGATCTTCTTTCGGCCCTCCTCATCCACAGAGGCACACACAGACCAGATCATGCTGAACACAAATGTCAACTCTACCATAGAAACATAGTTTTCACCATCAGCTGGGTTCACCTGGATGAAAAAAGAGAAGGAAAAATACCCTAAATCTGTAAGAGATGGAGGGATCTGCTTTGGCAGGTCATCACAAAGTCTTAGTTAGAGTTTCCCTCCCTCCCTGGTTCTGTTTGGAAAACTATCTGGGTGTAGGTAAACCTAAATCTAAAACATTTAGATAAATCTGAAACTTCTTGTAGCCCAGTGGTGTTCCTGAGTTTCTTCTCTACTAAGACACAGCAGGGATCCAGCCACACCATGTCTACCCTGAATAAGCACCCACAGGTGCTCAAGAAGACAAGTCCATGGACATTTGTGGTGACTTCTTTGTAACTGCAAAAAATGGAGATGACCTATATGTTCACCAGTAGAGGAATGGAAAAATAAAATGTCGTGTTCCACCATGGAATAGTATATAGCTGTTAAAAGCAATGAAACTTATCTAAATGTAGCAGTGTAGAACTCAAAAACATATTGTTGGTTTAATAAGCATATTACAAGTGTGGTATATAGCACAATACATTTTTTATTTTATTTGTTTGTTTATTTATTTTTTAAGCACACCAGGACCAACGATCACCAGCTGCCCAGGCACCAAAAAATCATGCTTCTGAAATCTCTTGATGTCAATTTTACATGCCGAGCAATCAAGCAACCCTGCGTGCGCCACTCGTGGCAGAAGCCCTTTTTTTGCATGATACATTTTTTAAATCCCACATTTTCTATAGATACCTATGGGTGTATTTTTGAAAGTCCTGGAATGACACATACGAACATACTACAACAGTTATTTGTGTGGAGAGGAGAGTAGACCAGGCCCGGGAGGGCAGAGGTAATCAAAAATGACTTTAGCTTTGTATGAAAATTTGTAATTTTTTGAAAGGAAACTAGATTTAACTGTTACTTGAGTAATTAAAAATTAAAAATTTAAATGTACCAACTTAATAGCAGAAATAGCATGTTTTAGAGCTCAGGCCCTCAACCTCCAATCCAGAGGGCACATACAGATGCTGTTCTTTGATAAGGTGCATGGTGCACATGGGGCTGTGCAAACTCCACTGGAATCCTCGGGGAAAATAACCAACAGATGGCTAACTCAGCATCATTTGTATCATCTCTAACCTACTATGTGAAACAGTCACAGGCCCATGGGTGGGGAGCTCTTGAGGATGGGTTCTGAATTAAGATACCTAAAATTGCAGGTAATGTGATATATCGGATGCTGCCCAATCCAGAATATTGTGCTTGGTCTTAGAATATAGGTGGGAAATTGTGTCGAGACTGTATTGTCTACCATATTCAATCTAGAATCCTTAGCCTGTCCTTCCAGCTCACCCCAACACACAAAACATCTCACCATCCTCTTCTGGGGAGGTCTCTGCTATAC